AGAAGGAGGAAGAGTATGGACTGTTCCAGAAATGAAAAGAAGACTCCTTGGCCAGAGACCCAGAATACAGAGGCCCAGGACTGCGGCCAGCACTGCTAGGTCGAGCCATATCAGAGCCTGAGGGAAAAGAAAAAGCGTGCACCTTGGTTTTAATGGCCAAACACTCGTCAACGATATTTTCAAAATCTGCTTTTCGGTTCATCTCGTTTTCAATGGAGAGGACTGCTAAGGGTGACGATTTCTCTCAGCCCAGTGACCATCTTAAGTGATTTTCAATTAAACCGAAGTACACTAATAAAGTCCGTTTTGGTATCAGTAATAGATTTAGACTTAATGTTGGGATTTTTAATACACGTTCTAATTTTTAAGTATTTTTCAACTATTTTAATGCTCTGGGGGAAAAACAATCAACCATTAAAAACACACACATACAAATGCGTATATAGGGGCACGAGTTCTTCCTTTTGCCTCAGGTTCCAACGTGGCTAGCACAGTCCTGACCTCTATTTAAAATGTTGCTATTTTGTTCATGGTGGATTTTTTTCCGCCTTAATTTTGCTTTTCCAAAAAAGACATCTTATTAAAATTTCATTGATCTCGTTGCTGAGTCTTTTTGGTGCTGCCTCACCCTCTTGCCGGCCACAGGTGCAGAGTTGAGACAGCGCCAGGCTTCTCGACTTGCATTTTATCCTAAGTGCAAGGCCGAACAATTAAAGGGGTTTTAAGCAGAGGTCTGACTGCTCAGAAGTGCCTTCGTACAAGATCACCCTCTGGAAGAAATGTCCACCAGAAGTGACAACCTCTGGAAGAAATGTCCACCAGAAGGAAAGGGTAAGTCGGGACGTGGAGGGGTCGCACATGGAATCCTACAGCAATGCCAGCTGATGATAAGACACCGCTGCTGACATCTTGTTTGTTCACTGTCCTCAGCAGCTTGTGCTAGAACATCTGAGTTGACAGGGAACTTGGGGACCTCCCTGCAGCCAGCCCCTTTTTTTCTCCCAGCAAAAGAACGAGAAGAACAGATGGACCTATAAGATTAGTTTGTAGCTGTTGGCCAGAGTACCAGGATGATTTCAGGCAATCTGTGATCACTCTCGCTCTGGGGCACCCCTGGGTGAGCTGCGTGGCCGTGTCACTGACCTAGACATGGCACGAAGCACACAGCTAGCAGGGAGCTGGCAAGCCACGAGTGGAAACCATGTCCCTGACTTCCTCTCGTCTCTGAGCCCAAGTACCCTGTCTTCCCATCATTCCAGAATTCCAATTTCATAAGCTGGAGTTCTACACGGAGGCCACTCCTGTGTCCTGGCCTTGTCTTCCAGTTGACACAAGAGCTGTGCTCCAGCACCCTTCAAGGACTGAGGGATATCAGGCAGGAGAGGCCCTCCCGGCTCTCGCCCAGAGTCTGGAAATAGGACACAGCCCATCTTTGTCAAGTGCGTGGGGATAACATGGGTTGGGAATGAAATGTTACTTTCTAGTACTGAGGAGGGTTTTATCCAGCGGAAGAGGTTGTACAATGAAACAAAGCACCCCCAGAGCGTGTACAATGAAACAAAGCACACCCTCTCCCTTCACCCCTGAAATTCTGGAAGGAAACCAGGTTCTCAGACTGCCTCAGGCTCAGGGCCAGGCCAACTGCTTGCTTTGGAGCTGGTGACTAGTTCCATGGTTGTTCACCCCCAACCAGATATGGAGCCTTCAAGCTAAGGGCACGATGCGTCTGGGTCACAGGAGGATAAGTTAGCCCAGACAGGTAGCTCTTCAGAAGCCAGAGTGGGGAGGGTGGAAGTCCTTAGGGTTCAGCCTTTTTCAGGAAGCAGCTGGGTGCTGGTGGGAAAGGACTTGGGCAGAGGATCATGTTTCAGAGAGAGCGTTGGCAAGGACTTATTTCCAAAACCAAGGAGATAATGACTGTCGTCAGATCAGCACAAGGTCACTAGACAGTCCAGCTTGTGTTTTACAAACTTGCCGAGCTATAATGCTTCTGTGGGCTGGCCTCATCATCTGTAGGATGGTGAGAAGCACTGCCTTACCTTCTGAGTTTTAAACAATGCTTGTGCTTTGGCACAGCTGATCACTATTATACTGTGTGATGTCCCTTATCTAAAGACTTCTTTGATGCCAGTATCTCTTTTTCATCTCCTAGAGAGTATCTGATATGGCTTATGATAAAGGACTCATGTAACAGAACGGTAAAAATAAAGATAAAAGTGTAAATGACATGGAATAGAAGAGGTAGACTAAGGGTAGCTGTTGTTCGAAATCTTGTTTTGTGCTCCCTGGCACCTGAGGAGAAGAAAGAGGAACCCGAAGTATTAAAAGCTCACGTTACCCAGCACCGGAAACGCTCCAAGTCATCAAGATAAACTGCTTTTTTACTGGCCCCAAACTAAAAGGAACTTATTAGATAAGCCTTTCGATTGACAGCAAACAATATAATCAACTGAGTTAATAGACAAAAGAAGCATGTGCCTGTTTTTATAACTAGTACACCTGTTTTGTGGGTCTAATGAGATATGGAGACACGGCTTGGAAGGTCAAGGTCAGAGAAGTGGAGGATTTGAAAGGCTCACAGATCCACCCAGACACTGACCTGAGAGGGGACCTGGTCTCAGAGTAAAGTGAGATGGCAGCGCTAACTGATGGGACGGACGCCCGGGGCCGCTGACACTTACCTTCAAGTGGCCAATGACGAACTTGTGAGCGAGGTGGTTCCACTTAGACTTCTTGTAGACAGAGAGGTGGCCCAAATCGTGTTGCAGCCATCCAGTTTGGACCTGGGGAGAGAGGGCCACAGATGCTTTCACAGTGTTAGCACACAATGCACCAGACCTCTACGAGCTGGGCAAGTCAGGGGCTTCAAGTGACAGGCCTCACCTGAGAGGTAGCAAGGATAAAGGACGCGATGATGGTTGTAATCCAGCCATTGCCAAAGTAAAAGACGATAAGCCACGCGATGGCCTCCATGACCAGGATATGGGCCAGGAGGAGGAGGAAGAACAGGTGGTTACTCTTGAACAGGTTCATGTCCTGAGCGGTCTTCTTCAGGGCCCGGAAGTCTTCAATGATCTGGGACTGCGGAGCAAGAGCGCAGGGAAGGTGTCAGCCACTGTGCCCTGCAGACTCTGTCATGACCACGTGCCTGTCTAGGCCTGGCACAGCCCTGAGGACCGTGTCTGTCCACAGCCAGTTAAGTGGTAAGAAAGCATTCGACTCAAAAGCTTGCACTTTGCACACCCATGTTCACAGCAGCCTTATTCACAATAGGCACGAGGTGCAAACAAACAAAATGTCCATCAGTGGATGAATGTCTAAACAAAATGTGGTGCATCCGTATGATGGAAGGTTATTCAGCCTTAAAAAGGAAGGAAATTTTGACATGTGCTACAATATGGAATAAACCTTGAAGACACTATGCTCGGTGCACTTACGCCAGGCACGAACGGACAAATACTCTATGATTCTATTCATCTGCGGTACCTAGAACGGACAAATTCACCGACAGAAAGTGGAATAGTGTTCACCACGGGCTGGGCGGAGGAAGGATGGGGAGTCAATGTTCAACGACAGTCTCAGTTTGGGGGGATCAAACAGTTCTGGAGGTAGATGGCGGTGAAGGCTGCACGACAGTATGAATGTGCTTTGTGCCACTGACTGTACCTCTGAAAATGGTTAAATGGCAAACACGATGTTACGTCCATTTACCACACGCGCACACAGAGGAGCTTGCGCTTTCTCCTGCCCGACTCCGCAGCACTTGTTCTGGGCACCCAATTGGGACTTGAGGGAGTTGAGGTGGGGCGGGGGGGTGGGGGACAGGATGAAGTGCCTGCCCCTGAGAACTTGGGAAGGCAGACAGGAGGACTGGGAGGGCCAGGGCGACCGAGGCTGAGTCAAGGATGACTCTGGGGAAATGAGGGCATTGCTGGCGGGGGCGGGGCAGGAAGGGGAAAGAAGTAGAGACACCCAGGATACTTCGAAAGGGCAGACAGGGTGGTGTGTGGGTGGAGGAAGCCAGATTTGGGAACTTGGGTGATGAGCGAAGAATCTAAAGAGCATCTACCAACCACCCAAGCGGCAGTGCAAAGGGGGAAATGGGGTGGGAGCTAGAGAAGCAGGATCGGGAAGGGGGGCGGCTGCAGGATGCCACAGGGAGGAAGAGAAGCCGCCTGCCTGGAAGCGGGTGGAAGGCGGAGCCACCTGTGAAGGAGGCAGGATGAAAGCCCAACTCAGCTCCACGGAGGATGAAGGCCACCCCCTCATCAGCCCTGGAGAGGAAGGCAAGAGGGGCAGGGACTTAAGGATCCAGTGGGACAGGAGGCTGACCTCTGGAGGAAACACGGAATGGCCTGGATCTCCCCAGGAAGGACGTCACAACGTAGGGGAGCTGGACGAGAGGGGGGCGACCCTCTGCCCAGCCTGGCTCAGCGGAGGCCCCAGCGGTGGAGGCTGAGAATGAATTCCTCCAAGTGGGGGGCCGGCCCAGGCTGGCAGCAAGAGGGGGCCTCACGGCAGCGGTTCTGAGTCCTCCCTGACCCCAGGTGATGGACAGTGGCTCTTGGGGCCACTCTCAGCCTCAGGGCGGGGACCCTCTCTCCCCGCAATCCCTCCCCTCTCTTCCTCGGTCCGGTCTGACTCACATTCTTGCCTCGGTCCTGGCTGGGCTCCTCTGGGGCCAGCTCGCCGACCAGCAGCGGCTTCAAGAACTTGCCCACGAAATCAAGATCGATGTGGAAAGCGTGGAAGGCATCCTGGGGAACAAGGGGGAGGTGGTAGCTGAGAGACCCCAACCTCGGCCTGCACCTCTGCCCAGGGAGAGCAGGGCTCACCAGCAGAACTTCCGTGTGCCTCCCACTTGGACACGGACAGGGCCTCCCACGAGCGAGCCCCCCAAATGCCCTCACAGGCCTCATCCCCGGCAGCTCCCTCGGCACCTGGCTCCCAAGGCGGTGCCACCTGGGCCACTGCTCTGACCAGCAGCCACTGAGCTCATCCAGCACGTGCGTGGACGTTTGGCCTGCCTCGGGGCGACTCAGAAAAATGCACCGCGCAGGCAGCGGGCTGGACAGGGCCCCGGAAGTCCGCGAGCCTCCGCGGGCTCCTGCTCCGGGTGCCTGGGACCTCACCAAGTGCCACGCTGGCACTTGACTACCAACGAGTGACAAGACTGGAAACTGCCACAAAAAGTGCACTTAGGAGAGCATGTTGAATCAAAGACAAATTCAGAATGAGGGAAGAGGCATTTCTGCAAAACGTTTTCATGATTTGAAAAAGTATGAAATGATGAAAGAATTTTTTATGGGTGGCTCTAAACTGTTAATGTTAAGGTGGTGGCATTATGGCTTGCTTTATTGTCATTACTTTCCAAATTTTCTCTAACGCGGCTATATTGCTTTTAAATATTTTCGTAAAGGTATTCGTTTGAATCTTTTGCTGATTACAAAGTAGTAATGTACGTAGCTTTGGCAAATATAGAAAACGTAGAGAAGAACAAAGAGGAAAATAAATGCCGCCCAGAGTGACCATCATTGCTAATATTTTAGCATATTTCCGTCTCGTTTCTTTCTACACATATTACGTGTATTATATAAATGATCTCATAACAAATATAGCATCTCTACTGGAGAGGAGCTAACACCACGTCCTCCCGATGGGCTACATACAGTATGACGTCCCAGTAGTAAACAACGGTTACACTGCATCGAACCAACTCTGAGACATCACTGGGACAGAGGAATAAGTCACATGACACCACACGAAACAATCAGGGAAAAAAAAGTGAGGGTATGTGTGTGTTGGTGATGTGGGGTGGCGGAGAACACGTGTCGATTTACAGAGATTGAAAAAGAGATAACAAAAAAGCTATGAAACCTGTAGTGCTTGATTTGAAAGGCTCCCACTTGGAGGGAAAAACACCCCAGCAGTTATGTAAGACGTTTTTGGGGTCGAATGAGAAAATTTCAATACGGACTGGTCATCTGATCCTCTTAAAGCGTGACTATTAATTTTCTTAAATGCGACAAAGGTATTGTGATTATATTAGAGAATGTCCCAATTCTTAGGAGACGATGGTGAAGAATTTAGGGATGAGGTGGCATAATGACATAACTTTTCATATGATTTGGCAAAAGAAAATTGCCTACGCGTAAAGAGGAAGAATGTAAATGTGGCACAGTGTTAGATCAGTGACTCTTGGTTGAGGATACACAGCGAACACACTAAGTACTCACTTATTCTTTCAACGTTTCCATATGTTTGGAAATTTCCAAAATTTAAAAAAAAAAATAGAGGAGGAAAGAGGAAAATGTTAACAAATAAAAATGTTTCCACTCCCCCTCCTCACTGTCCACCACAGCACCTCGAAATGGTAATTGCCAGTCTTCTCCTATTTCCTACTGGCACCAAATGCTTCTGCCTTTGTCCTATTTGTGTCTAGAACAGCCTTACAAGCAACACTCTGTGCAGAGGAAAACTGGGCCCTGAGTTTTTTTTTAAAAAAAGGTCTGTGCCCCATTAACTCAGCAGAAAAAGGATGGCAGCAGAGGATCAGATTAAGTATATTTTCAGATATGTGCTGCTTTTCCAGGGGCCCTGGGCAGGCTGTGAGGTGGCCTGCAGGCCAGTGCTGACCAGCTCTGCCCACCTCGGGCAGCCTCCTCTGTGAAGTGAGGACCCTCCCAGCTCCGACGTCCCACGGCCCTGGGAAAGGCTCAGCCGCAGCTTCCGAAGTCGGGGGCCCGGAGTGCTGGGGGCGTAATGGTGAGCAGAGCTGCCTTCCAAAATCAGAGCCTAAAAGAGCCCTCTCCTTGGTCTTCCTCAGATCAGACCACGGCTTTTAAAGAATGAACAGGAAGTCCTTGATAAGGCAGCTTCCTGAGGAACAGCTACCGTGTCTGAGAGTTAAACGATGACTCTACTTTTCGTGGAGAGGTAGAATGCAATATAGGAGTCTGCAGGTGTGCTCACCCCACATCCAGCTCCCACCACCCGCACCAGGTCCCGGCTGGAAACCTGGTGGCCCTCTCAGGTGGCCTCACTTCCCTGTGGCCAGAGGAAGGGAAGGGGAAGGCTGTGTTCCAGGTAGAAAGACCGATGCCTACAGCTCTACTGGACAGGTAAGCTTAGTGCTGTTGGATTGTCTTGTTGGTGCTGGCAGGTCCAGTAGCTTTCTGAGAAGCCCTAGTGGGAACTGCCATGGAGTCCACTAAATTCGTTCCCACAGCAGGACCTTTGCCTGGCTCTTCCCCCTGCCTGGAGTCCTGCTTCGCAGCATTCTGTGGCTGGCTCTGTTTGGGATGCACCTCGAAAAGGCTTTCCCCTAACCACCCTATCTGACAGAGCCACTCTCTAACCCACATTTCCTCTGGGACATTGCCCTGTTGTATCTTCTTCAGAGCAGTTAACAATATCACAAGCTATATTATGTACAGATGTTCCTTGACTTATGATGGAGTTATATCCCGATAAACCCATCGTAAGTTGAAAATATTGTGAGTCAAAAATGCATTTAGTACAGCTAACCTACGAGACGTCATAGCTTGGCCTAGCCTACCTTAAACGTGCTCAAATGTGCTCAGAACACGGACAATCTGCAGCTGGGGAAAATCACCTAACACAACACCTATTCTGTAATAAAGTGTTGACTGCCTCAGGCAATTTATCACACACATCACTTTCCCACCATCGCGAAGTTCAAAACTCGTTAAGTCAAACCGTCACGAGTCAGGGACTGATTGTGCTCAGTTTTTCATGATCGGTCTCCACTAGAATATAAGCTCTAAGGGAAAGACCACACCTGTCTCATCTGCTGCAAAAAAATCCCCGTGCCTACGACAGTGCCTAACAGGAGGGCTCACAAACAAATGCGGGGAACTAGGACCCCAGAGCCATGTACCCGCTTATTCCAGGAGACATTCCCACTCTGCCATCACGTTTTGACTCTCCTTTTGTTCTGTACAACTCGGCTTCTGCTTCTAGGACCCTAGAACTCCCTAGCTTCTCCAGCACCTACATACTGGTGATTTGGCAGAGGGGCCGTGTGCCGAGGTTATGTGGGTTAGCCACAGAGCCACGGGCTTTATGTACATAAACTGCTAATCGTTACCAAACTCTGAGGCAGGTTCTATTTTAGAGATGAAAAGAGATTGAGGGGACCAAGCTACTTGCCCCTGGTCACACTTCAGGTGTGCCCAACTCTAGAGTTTTCCGCTGTTAATACAAAGGTCTCCAACAAAATGAGCTTCCTCCTCCCTAATTGTTGATCACTGTGCCTCCCCCTTCCAAGGGTCGCGGATGGGCCACACGCACTTGCGGAAAGTTCCTTATAGCTGCTTCATTACGGAAGTGCCTGCTGGTGTAAGGCAAGCCACAGGGCAGGCAAGACAGGGTTAACCCAAATGCCGATTTTTGAATAAGATTTAGAACCGCGTTCTACCCTTATCTGACAGGGAGAGAAGGCGGACTTTCGAGAACACAGATGAAGAGGAAGGATAGGAAACCGGTTGAGAGAGCAGAGTGGAGCCAGCCCCTGTCGGGTAGGTGTGTGTGCTGGTGGGGGAGTCGGGGGGGAAGGGGAGGTCAGGTTGCAGGAAGGAGGGCCAGAACACCCAGATTCCCAAAGGTATGCCACGCTTCCTGGTCTTCAGAGTTTCTGCTTCTGCCTTCCGCCAGCTCCAACTCCAGTCAACTTTCACAAGAAGACATCTCACCTGCCCTGGCCCCACACCAGGTAGAGCTCACAGCTCCTCCCCCTCCGCTGAGCATCAGGTACCACTTGTTTCCCACTGTGCCCACCTTCTCTGCAGAGCAAGGCTAGTCTCTAGTCCAGCTGTGCACATCTGGGCACTCAGCCTGGGACCCAAGAAGTGAGGGAAGGGCCAACTCCAGGCAGTCGATGCTGCAGGCAGCATTCCTGGGAACTGTGACTCTGTGAACACATGGTTAGGGAGGGAGAAGCCGAGGAGGGACCCAGGGTTCACAGAGAAAGGGACGTTGACTTCCTTTCTACAGCAGAGATGCAGGCAGGACAGGAAGCCCCTGTGCCACATCCCCTCCAAGGAAAGAAGGAACAGAGGCTTGCGGGGCAGTGCTCTGTACCCAAAGAGTGTCCCCGCTGATGCCGGGCACATGCACTGCCTGGGGGCAGGAAGGGCAGGGCTGCATGGGAAGTAAAGCCTGCACAGACAGCCTAGGCATGATGACATTACAGTGGGAAACAGGACTCTGCATCTCTGGCATCTCAGTAAGCTATGTGAGGATTCTGAGGCTGGGTTTGGTTCTTCCAGCCACCAGGAATGAAACCTTTCCTACCCAGATCTAGCTGAGGGGGTGGAGCCGCCCTCCAGGCACAACCAGAAGAGGAATTTCATGTGCAGTAAATGGCTTCTCTGTGCCCTAAGAGGTTACTGATGCAGACAGGGCAGGAGAGTGACAAAGAGGGAGTGTGGGCAGGGGTAAGGGGAGCTGGTGTCTGGAGGCAGAGGGTCCGGATTCAAGGCCCAGCTTGAGAGGAAGGAAGGAAGCAAACCCAGCAGGTGTGGTCACTGTCTGTGGACTATTCGTCTTTGTGCGTAGGCCCAGCTCAGAGCCCAGCTCAGAGCCACGGAGAGGCTGAATGTGACGAAATCGTAGATGAAGATTGGGAGTCCCCTGTGGGCAAAGTTCTGCTGCCATGAAGAGAACAGAGACACTCTTGAGACATGGGTGAGGGTTCATTCTGTGCACAGGAAGATCAAGACCAGAGATGCCGCAGAAAACCAGAGGTGGACTAGGAGGGGGGGGGCTGGGAGGACTCAGTGATGGTAGATCCTGAGTTTAGGACCAGGGGCTGCAGCTCGACTAGGTTTTTAAACCTAAGAGCAATGAGTGATGCCTACAGGGCTAATCCGGCTAAATGAGGTAAAAGGTATGAATGTGCCTTGTGAGCTGTAAAAATTAAATTTTATTCTGACAGGCAAGGCCAAATTCCATCTTCTGCAGAAGGCCCAAGTGGCCCACAAATAGTCACTCCCCCAAACTCGGAGGAAGAAGTCCATACCCAAAGGGGCAAAGCCACCTGCTCGACAGCCTAAAAAAGCCTCTCTTGATTCCTAGCCTGTTCCTGTGTCTCTCAAGTTCCCTTCCCATACACCCCGTACTTCCCATGGCCTTTTCCCAATCTAGTTTCAGAGAGAGAGAGAGAGAGGGAGAGAGAGAGAGAGAGAGGGAGAGAGAGAGAGAGAGAGGGAGAGAGAGAGAGAGAGAGGGAGAGAGAGAGAGAGAGAGGGAGAGAGAGAGAGAGAGAGGGAGAGAGAGAGAGAGAGAGGGAGAGAGAGAGAGAGAGAGGGAGAGAGAGAGAGAGAGAGGGAGAGAGAGAGAGAGAGAGGGAGAGAGAGAGAGAGAGAGGGAGAGAGAGAGAGAGAGAGGGAGAGAGAGAGAGAGAGAGGGAGAGAGAGAGAGAGAGAGGGAGAGAGAGAGAGAGAGAGGGAGAGAGAGAGAGAGAGAGGGAGAGAGAGAGAGAGAGAGGGAGAGAGAGAGAGAGAGAGAGAGACGGAGACAGAGTCAGAGTCAGACAGAGACAGAGACAGAGACAGAGACGAACAGAGACAGAGACTCCAGTTGCTCACTCCACCATTATTTAACTATGTCCCCCAGTTACTACATTTCATGCCCTACAGTCTGAACTTAGAAGGCAGTAACCTTCTGGGATG